AGAATCTCTTTTTCTTTAACACAAAAGCAGACTGGAAGTGGGTGGCCTACAGGAGGCTGGTCCTTCTGCTCCCCTCCCTCACTGTACCAGCTCACAGAAGAAGGGCGGTTCTGGCTCCTTCTGTGCTCCAGTGGAACCCACCCAATGGCATCACCAGGCTCCCCTCTCAGGCTGAGCTCACTGCAGCCTGTGTGGGGACAGCCGAGAGATGGCAGGAGGGCCGTGGGCAGTGCCGCTGCAGCCAGTGGGCAGCCCCCTGACTGGTGAGCCTCGCGGCGTTGCTCACGCCAACCACCCCATGCTCTGCCCTGCTCTCTTGTTCAGGGTCCCCTACGGCCTGGAGCTGCACCAGCAAGGGTGGTATCCCCTCCGAGGCCTTGTCAGGGCTGGGTCCTGGCAACTGTCCTCACTCTCTGAAACATATGCCCAGGTCAGAAGGCTCTCCGGGTAGACTGACCCCATGCAAAGGCAGGAGCACCCACCCAACACTTGGCTCAGTCTGTTTGGGGCTGCTAAAGCTGAACAATACAGACTGGAGGCTGCAAGTTACAGACCGAGGCACTGGCAGACCCGGTGTCTGGTGAGAGCCCACCTCTGGCTCTCCTCCCTCTGTCCTCACAGGGAGGACGGGGTAGGGCACTTTCTGGAGTCTCTTACAAGGGCACCGATCCCATTCATGAGGGCTCCAGGATCATGACCTCATCACCTTCCAAAGACCGCCACCTTGAGCACTTGGGTTTCAACATAGGAATTTCAGGGGACCCAAATATTCAGACCATAGCAGATGTGGAAACCAATGATACCACACACACTAAGCAGGTAGGAGAGTCCCTCACTTATCCCTTGTGGTCTCTGGGGGGAGCAGGGCAGGCCCCAGCGAGCCTGAGACAGCAGGGAAGGAGCCTGGCTCAGGGTTACCCTGTCAGGCGGTGGGGCCAGGCGAGGGTCTCCACACACAGGCAGCGGCTTGTGACCTGGATCTTTCATCAGCTTGTCCAGGTGTGGGGCAGAGGGTCTGGAGAAAGACTCCTCTCTTACTCACAACACCAAGGGACATGTGCTGAAACAAGATGTGGGCGAATTTGGTCCTGCACAGGCAGGAACTGGGCACTAGGGCACTGAAGGTGCAAGCCAACGAAGAGCTGGTGCACAAAGGCCAGATGTTTGGTTTTGGCTACAAGCATTTAAGAAAATCAATTTCAAATCTACTTCAAATCACCACTCAGCTAATGAAAGAGACCTCCGTGGTCACACATAACAACGAATCTTTACATAGACTGACTGCATGTTGGGCCACAAACCAAATCTTTAAAGTATAAAATTTTAAGAGACTGAAATCACAAAAAGTATCTCTGACTACAGTGCAATGAAGCTAGAAATGAACAGGACCAGGAAAACTGGAAAATCTACAAACACAACAGGCTCATAAACAGCCAACGGGGCAAAGACATTACACGGAAAGCTAGAAAAATCTTTGAGCTGAATGGAAATGAAAACACAACATACCAAGACATGGATTGAAGAAAAAAAAATGCCCTCATTAAGAAAAAAGAAGAATCTCCAAACAATAACCTAAATTTATACCTTAGGAAACTAGAAAGAGAAGAAGAAACCAGATCTGAAAGGAGTGGAAGGAAGGGAGTCATGAAGAATAGAATGAAAGCAAGTGAATGTACGGCACAAATCAAGAGAGAGAATAATGAAGATAAACATTGTATTCTTTGAAAAGGTAAATAAAATTCACATTTAGCTAGATTGACCATGAAAACAATAGAAAAGACTCAAGTTACTTAAAATCAGAAACGAAAGTGGAAGCATTCCTACCAAACTTGGAGAACAGAGGCAGATACAGGCAGCATGCACCCAGCATGACATAATTCAGATGAAACAGACAGATTACCAGAAACACATAGACTACCAAAACTGACCGAAAATAAACAGAAAATCTGAGCAGACTTACAAAAAATAAAGAGAATGAATCAGTAAGTAAAAATTTCTGAACAAAGAAAAGCCCAGCCCCAGATTCTCCACTTCACTCATAAAGGAAAAAAACAAAACCTGATCATCTCGATTGATGCAGAAAAAGCATTTGACAAAACCCAGCAGACCTTCAGGATGAAACACTCAGCAAACTGGAAAGGAAAGGAACCTTTCTCAACATGACAGAGGCCATATATGAAAAACCCACAGTGTGCACGAGGCTCAGCGGTGGTGGACGGCAAGCTCCCCTCCTATCGGGCGGGCGGAGTCATGGACAACTTTCCCGCCACTCCTAGTCAGAACAATTAGGCAAGAAAAAAGAAACAAAAGGCATTCAGATGGGAAAAGAAGTAAAATATCTGTATTCACAGACACATGATCTTCTCTGTAGAAAATCCTACAGAATCCTACAAAAAAAAACTATTAAATAAATTCAGGAAAGTTGATGGTACAAGATCAATACATAAAAATTAGTTGAATCTCTACATACCATAATTTCCTAAAGGAAATTAAGAGAACAATTCCCTTCACAATGATAGAAACATATACTTTCTGTTTCCCACCTAAGTCTGGCATCCTGGCGGTGCCCACACTGGTGCCCAGTTCCCCAGGGGCAGTGAAACAGCAGAGACTCATTGCCTGCACAACAGAAGACCTCTGTCCACACGAGCCAGGAGCCCCAGTCGAAGTGGGCGCCCCCAGGAGTAGACACGGCTGAGCCACCCTGCAGCTGGGCACACCACATGGGCCTTGGCCCAGTCCAGGTGGGCATTGCAGCTGAGCCCCACGTCAGGCCACACCTCACTTCCAGACACTGGCACAGGGGTGCTCGGCACCCACCAGCTGGGCCTCCGTGTGACCTGGGGGGACACTGAACTGAAACAGTCCATCAAGGGCAGGGTAAGCGTTTGACAGGTCTCTGGGAAATCGACCCGACTGTCCGGCCCTCCAGTCCCACAGGGAGGAAGGCTGCAGGAGGACCAGGACCACCTGGCCTAGCATAGCCCCAGCGGGCCCTCAAGCCACCACTGGAAGCCTGGGGGTGGGGGTCCTGCAGACTCTGAGGACCCTCCCGTCACTCAGCACCTCCCAGGTCCTGGCCCCCACTCAGACTCAGACAGCAAAAGCTCATTTCCCACCTCCTCGGGCCCCATGGGAGCCAGGGGTAGATGAGCACAGCACCCTCAGCTCTGCACCGGAGGGCCTAGGGCCCCTACCCCAGGCTGGGGCTGCGTGCCCAGCTGGAACATTAGTCTCCTGGTCAGTCTTCAACCCTGGTGCATAGTCACAGCGTGACCAGAGCACTCAGAGCCCTGTGGGAGGGCACCTGCTCTAGGAACCCCCAGCGGTGTCTGCCCCCCAGCAACTCCCAGATACAGCCTTCGAAGCAAGAACACAGGAAGGTTGTACATGGCAAAAATGCTCTCAAGGACTCTTTGTCCAGAAATTTCAAAAATTAGAAATCAAATATTCACCTTCCATCTCAATTTGTATCCTTAATTTTGATTTTCTTAAGTTTTCTCAGACTTTATTTTGATGGTGTCAATGACATTAAGGAATTAAAATACTAACAAATGAATGCCTAAGGACCGTTTTCTGAGGCATCTCCACAGAGTTAGGGTCTCGGCTCTTCACATGCACATAGACGGTTCACTGCCTGCAAAGGGCTGAGACAGCCCATCTCTTTGGGGCCCACGTGGTGTGGTCCCCTCCACTCATGGACCTCTTGGGATCCAGAGCCCTGTGGAGAGCAGCACATTCACCTGGAAGGAGGAGGGGCCATACCTCACAGCCACCTGGGCACGGAGAGTGTGCTCCACCCACCTGCAAAGGATAACCGCACGGGTCAGGTGGGAAACACACAGGACACATAGACCATGCACCTCGTAAATCATGCTCATATTTACACATCAGTGCAAAGAAAGGTTCTCATGGATATAAACCAGGATGCTGAGGGATTCATTTCTGAGTGTAGAACAAGTGTTTTCCATTCTCTTTCTTCATTCTATGAGTTTTTAAATTTACAGTAATAAATGTGTTTTGTTTTATAAACAGAATAAGATCAATAACGGTTGCTTTCCAAAAGATTTGCCAGATGACCAGTTTTTGAGAGGGCAGCTCAGGTTTTCAGACCAGTATGGAGGAGGTGTGGAGAATCTGGAGGGAGATGAGGATTTCCAGAGAGGGCAGGAGGACCGCATCAGCAGGACCCTCTGCACAGTAGCTCCAGCGCCTCCCGAGCCACAGCCTGTGCGCTGCACTGAGCTGCACCCCCAGCTCAGGGCTCAGGGACCTGCAGCTGCCTCAAGTGAGTCCCCCCATGCTCTTCCCTCACAAGAAGCCTAATCAATACCCTACAAATAGACTGAAAGGACCGGGGGCCACCGGGAAAAGCTCAGCACACAGCCATGAAGGGGGCACGGTCCGGGTGCCTCGGGCAGGCGCGGAGCGCTATGCTTTGGGGAAGGGCAGCACAGATAGAGGGGCCCCGCACCCTTCCTCTAAGTCCCAACCGCTCTGGCTGCTCGGCTGACACCCTTACTCTGCACCCCATGTGTCTTCCAGACCCCTGTCCCATGCCCAGACCCCCACCCCACTTCCTGCCAGCTCCCTTCTCTCCCTCCTGACCCCAGGGGACGCACTCCTGCCGCACACCTTCCCCCATCCCCCAGGCCCAGGGATATCCAGTGTGAGGGTGACCAGGCTGTGGCAAGTGTGGTTGTGGTCACAAAGGGCTGGGTCCCTCGGCGAGTACTGGGGACTCTGGCACAACGGAACACCTGGGCCGGTTCCAGCACCCTCTGTGGATGTGAAGAGGGGCATCCAGGAGTTGGTTCGTCAGGGGCCCCCATCCCGATGCGCACAGGAGAACCACGTGGGCAAGAAGTTGTCGGTGCAGAACGCTGAAAACACGTGCCCACATGGGACTAGGGTGAAGAGGGGGTAGCTGAGAACAGAACCTGGGCTGAGAGGGGGCGGTCTGAGCAAATGTTTCTGAGATGAATTAATGCATGAATGAGTGAGTTCAAAGGGACTTTAATGACATCTTTTAAAATGAGGACAATGAAAGCCCTCCAGGGCCTGGGCTCTCTCCCTGCTCTGGTCTCACTGATGTCCCCCATGGCCAGCTCACTGTCATCACGTCCTAGGGCACGCTGTGTCTTCCATATCAGCCTGAGCTTTGGGGCCGAGGCTGCAAGGAGCCCCACCTGCGTTTAAGGAGAGAGACGTGCACTGGGTCCCTTGGCCATCCCTCCGAGCCCCCCGACTTCTGGGCCCTGGTGTGTCACTTGAAGCCAGAAGGTCACACAAGGACTAGAATGGGTGAGCCAGGGTCACACCGCTTCCCCTCCCACCCTGTCTGCTCAGGCTCCCTGTGGCCGGCCAGGACAAGGTACTAGAAGGGCCCTGTGGGCAGCCATGTAAAGAAACCCAAAGAAAACTCCAGGACTCTCCCTAAACTCCACATCCACCCACAAGAAGATTCCTGTCTAAGGAGCAACTTTGAAGGGACGGCCGAATTTCCTAACATCCAAGCCTGTGACGCAGGAGTGAGGGTCATGGACACATGGGCTGATGGCTCTCAGGGTCTTTAAATGTAGGCACTGGCCAGAGCAGAGCCCCAGGCATAGGTGCAGTACAGAAGGGACAGCACGCCAGACAATAAGGCGCAGAGGTGCACACCAGTGGGGCTCAGGGGCACCTCCTCCTCTTCCTCCTCCTCCTCAGGGCCCAGCTCCGGCTCCCCAGCGTCATCATACTCCTCCTCCAGGGCCAGGTTCTGGGACACTCTGGGCCCCTCGTCTTTCTCCCCGATGGGGACAGCTCCGATGTCCTCATAAACACCTTCCGAGGGCAAACTCCCCAACATTCTGGAACCTGCAAAGGCCACACCAGAGCCCTCTAGAAGAGACACTCCCACAGTCTGAGCCCTCCCACTGCTGGCCCTGTGGGGTCTCCCATGCGTGCAACCCGGCCCTTCTGCTGCAGTTGCCCACCAAGAGCAACGTCCCCCACAAGGGGCCACACGCCTCCCTGGCACCCAGGGCTGGTTAGCCCCACCACACAGATGGCCTGAGGAATCGGGACACCACTGGGGACTTGTTCTCACACCCAGGCCACCCTTCAGAAGCAAAGCAGGGCCCAGGATCCCGAGTCCCCAGGGTCCAAGAATGTCACTGAGAAGTCGCCATGCAGTGGAGGTCCAGGTGTGACCAGGCATGCAGAGCAGTTACCAGGGCAGAAGAGGCCTGTGATGGGCTGGGGTCCCAGAGTGTGCGCCCCCAACCTCCCCAACCCAAGCCTTGTGTTCACCTCCCCAACCACACCCACCTACCCCTGCGGGTTCTGCCACGGTACCACTGTGCCCCCAAGACCAGGGAGACAATGACCAGAAGGGTGCCGAGGACAACGCAAAACATCATGGGTAGGTTCCCAGCCTTGAGGGCAGATGCAGGGGCCAGGGGAGGGCCTGTGGGGACAGTGAGAGGCGGGGTCTCCCCTGTGTGCCTGTGTGCCTGGGGTATTGTGACCTTGGGTCTGGACCACCTGAGCCTCTCAGGGAGGGGGAAGGCACCCAGAGGAGAGATGGCCTTGTGCTCCTCCCCCAGAGATAACCCCGAGGTCATCGGGCAAGGGTCAGGAGGGAGGGGGCACAGAGGGAGGGGGCCAGAAGGGAGGCCACAGTGTTCCCAGGTCAAACCCCCCAGTTGGTAAAAGAAAGATCCCAGAGAAGTGGCTGGGCAGGGCCTGAGCCTGCTGTCCCTCCCAGTGGCTCTCCACACAGGAGGATGCACAGCCATTTTCCTTGGAGGAGGGGGTGGTCGTGGTCCTCCTGACCTTGGCCCGACCAGCCTAAGGAGGGGCTGACTGGAGCCTTGGCACCCACAGGAGACTCCAGGGCACCCCTCTGTACAGAACCCATTGTAGGGCCCCTCTGAGTTGGGGCCAGACAGGAGAGCATGAGCTGAGCCCTGAGGGAGAGCACACTACCCAATGTCTGTGCCAGTGCTGGTGGCAAGGCCGTGGTTCCCCTGTCACCTGCAAGAGAAATAGGAAAGATCTGAGGGCAAAGTAGGGGAGGCAACCACAGCCCTGGGCAGCCTAGACCCTTACCCAGACCCTCAGGGAAGTGTCCCAGCCTCACTCAGCCTGAGCCAACATGTCATGGGACAACCACAGAGGCAACCAGAGGAAGCCAGCACAGCCTCAGGGCCAGGTTCTGGGGGAATACTCGGAGGAACCCTTCTGGCAACCCCTCCCCAGCCCCCAACAAACCCTCCCACCCCGCCTGTCCCGCTACCCCCTGCCCACTCACGGGAGCAGTGCACGCCTGCATCCTCCTTGTGCCCACAGTCTCCGAGTCCCCATGGCTCTGTGGGACAGCTCCACAGGGATGCCTCGCTGCCACGGCACCCCACCTCGTCCAGCCACACAGGCCCCGAGCCTGGCCCAAAGGCAGCCCCCACAAGGGCACCCACAGCCGGGCCACAGCCCAGCTGGCGGCACACAACCTCTGCATCTGCCAGGTCCCAGGAATCATCACACACGGTGCCCCAGGAGCCAGCATGCCAGAGCTCTACACGGCCAGAGCAGTTGTCCTTGCCCCCACGCACACGCAGCATACCCTCTTCTGGAAAGGGGGGTTGTGGTCACTGCAGGGCAGGACCAAGATGAAGAGTGGACAGGGAGATGGACAGAAGGGTACCTGGGCAGCTGTGGGTGGATGAGCAGTTGAGGGTCTCCCCGGAATCCTGTGCCATTTTCTCTGACAATCCTATTGGATTAAGTAGTCACCATCCCACTGTAAATGCCCTGAAAAGCTTCAGAATGCAGTTTGTAGAACCCACATGACCCCCAGGCCCTGAATCATGAATGGGTGGTTTGTCAGAAACCACCAGCATCCCACCTGCACAGGTGATCCAGACCTCCTCTCCAGGGGTACAGGAATGTGGGTGCCATGGTGCCGAGGGGCACTGCCACAGTGTGGAGTTTCTCAGCCTGCGGCACTCAATGTTGTCCACCCAGGAGGTGCCTGAGCCAGTGTGGACGGGTCTGTTCTCTAGCCAGCCCTGCTCCCCACAGCCCAGCTGCTTGCAGATGATGGACAAGGAGATGTCCTTCAGGGCATTACTGCACACGGCGCCCCACGTCCCATTGTAGAACACATCCAGCCACCCAGCACAGTGGTGGATGCCACCTCGCAGTCTCAGAGCCACTGACCCTGGAAGACAAGAGCAGTCAGGTCAGGAGGAATCTCCAAAGGAGAAGGCCAAAATGAGAGGGTCCCAGCACTGGCATCAGTGCTGCTCGAGACATCTAACCCAGGGAGCCCCTGGCATGAACCTTAAATCAATCACGCATCCCCATGACAATCTCCACCCCAGGGATGTAGGTAGCAGTTAATCTCAGGTGACCTGATTTAATCCCCAGCTGTAACGTCTTAGCAGGTGTCAGCTAATTGTCCAGAAATCCATCTTTGGAAATCATTCAAAATAGAGAATAATCCAGGTGCTAAATGAGAAAAATATGCAGCCAAGAATACTTTATCCATCAAGGCTGTCATTCAGAATACAAGGAAAAAAAAAATCCTCCAGGACAAACAGAAACTAAAAGAATTTGTGATCACTAAACCAGCCCTGCAAGAAATATTAAAGGGGATCCTTTAAGCAAAGAGAGAGCCCAAAAGTAAAAAAGACCAGAAAAGAACAGAGACAATATACAGAAACAGGGACTTTACAGGTAGTACAATGGCCCTAAATTCATATCTTTCAATAGTTACTCTGAATGTAAATGAGCTAAATGCCCCAATCAAAAGACATAGCGTATTAGATTGGATAAAAATGCAAGACCCATGATATGCTGTCTGCAACAGACTCATTTTAGACCTAAAGACACCTCCAGGTTGAAAGTGAGGGGTGGAAAATCTTTATCATGTTAACAAACATTAAAAGAAAGCTGAGGTAACAATCCTTATATCCGACAAATTAGATTTTAAAACCAAAGACTAATAAGACATGAGGAAGGACACTATATCATACTTAAAGGGTCTATCCAACAATTGTAAATATCTATGCCCCTAACATTGGAGCAGCCAATTATATAAACCAGTAAGTAACAAAATTAAAGAAACACATCAATAATAATACAATAATAGTAGGGGACTTTAACACCCCATTCACCACAATGAACAAATCATCTAAGCAGAAGATCAAGAAAGAAACAAGAGCTTTGAGTGACACACTGGACCAGATGGACTTAACACATATGTTCAGAGCATTCCATCCTAAAGCAACAGAATACACATTCTTCTCAACTGCACATGGAACATTCTCCAGAATAGATCACATACTGGGTCACAAATCAGGTCTCAACTGGTACCAAAAGATTTGGATCATCCCCTGCAACAGTACATTAAAACAATTACCACAACCAAGTGGGATTTATTACTGGGCTGCAAGGATGGTTCAATATCCACAAATCAATCAACGTGATACACTACATTAATAAAACAAAGGAAAAGAACCATATGATTCTCTCAATAGATGCAGAAAAAGTATTTGACAAAGTACAGCATCCTTTCTTGATTAAACCTCTTCACAGTGTAGGGATAGAGGGAACATACCTCAATATCATAAAAGCCACATATGAAAAGTCCACAGTGAATATCATTCTCAATGGGGAAAACTTGACAGCTTTTCCCCTAAGGTCAGGATGCCCGCTCTCACCACTATTGTCCAACATAGTACTAGAAGTCCTAGCCTCAGCAATCAGACAACAAAAAGAAATAAGAGGCATCCAAATCGGCAAAGAAGAAGTCAAACTCTCACTCTTTGCAGACAACATGATACTCTATGTGGAAAACCCAAAAGACTCCACCTCAAAATTGCTAGAACTCAAACAGGAATTCAGCAAAGTCGCAGGATATAAAATCAATGCACAGAAGTCATTTGCATTTCTATACACTAACAATGAGACAGAAGAAAGAGAAATTAAGAAGTCAATCTCATTTACAATGGCACCAAAAACCATAAGATACCGAGGAATAAATCTAACCAGAGAGGTAAAAGATCTGTACTCTGAAAAGTATAAAACACTCATGAAAGAAATTGAGGAATACACAAGGAAATGGAAAAACATTCCATGCTCATGGATTGGAAGAACAAATATTGTTAAAATGTCTATGCTACCCAAAGCAATCTATGCATTCAATACAATCTTTATCAAAATACTATCAAGTTTTTTCACAGAGCTGAAACAAATAGTCCTAAAATTTGTATGGAACCAGAAAAGACCCCAAGTGGGCAGGGGAATGTGGAAAAAGAAAATCAAAGCTAGGGACATCACAATTCCAGACTTCAAGCTGTATTACAAAGCTGTGATCATCAAGGCAGTACGGTACTGGCACAAAAACAGACACATAGATCAATGGAACAGAACAGAGAACCCAGAAATCGACCCTCAACTCTATGGTCAACTAATCTTCAACATAGCAGGAAAGAATATCCAATAGAAAAAAGTCAGTCTAGGGGCGCCTAGGTGGCTCAGTCGTTAAGCGTCTGCCTTTGGCTCAGGTCATGGTCCCAGGGTCCTGGGATCAAGCCCCGCATAGGGCTCCCTGCTCAGCAGGAGGCCTGCTTCTCCCTCTCCCACTCCCCCTGCTTATGTTCCCTCTCTCACTGTCTCTCTGTCAAATAAATAAAAATTTTTTTAAAAAAAGAAAAAGAAAGACAGTCTCTTCAACATATGGTATTGGGAAAACTGGACAGCCGCCTGCAGAAGAATGAAACTGGACCATTTCCTTACACCACACACAAAGATAAACTCAAAATGGATGAAAGATCTAAATGTGAGACAAGAATCCATCAAAATCCTAGAGAAGAATGTAGGCAGTAACCTCTTCAACATTGGCCACAGTGACTTCTTTCAAGACATGTCACCAAAGGCCAGGGAAACAAAGAAAAAAGTGAACTATTGGGACTTCAAGATAAAAAGCTCTTGCACAGCAAAGGAAACAGTCAATAAAACCAAAAGACAACCCACGGAATGGGAGAAGATATTTGCAAATGACATATAAGATAAAGGGCTAGTATCTAAGATCTATAAAGAACTTCTCAAATTCAAAACCCAAAGAACAAATAATCCAGTCAAGAAATGGGCAGAAGACATGAAAAGACATGTCTCCAAAGAAGACATACAAATAGTCAACAGACACATGAAGAAAAATGTTCATCATTGGCATCAGAGAAATTCAAATAAAGACCACAATGAGATACCACCTCACACCAGTCAGAATGGCTAAAATTAACAAGTCAGGAAACATCAAATGTTGGCAAGGATGCAGAGAAAGGGGAAACCCTCTTACACTGTTGGTGGGAATGCAAACTGGTGCAGTCACTCTGGAATACAGTATGGAGGTTCCTCAAAAAGTTAAAAATAAAGCTATCCGATGACCCAGCAATTGCATTAGTGGGTATTTACCCCAAATATACAAGTGTAGTGATGCAAAGGGGCACCTGCACCCCAACGTTTATAGCAGCAATGTCCACAATAGCCACACTATGGAAACTAAATAGTCCAGATGTCCATCGACAGATGAATGGATAAAGAAGATGTGGTTCATATTTACAATGGAATATTACTCGGCCACCAAAAAGATTGAAATCTTGCCATTTGCAACAACATGGATGGAACTAGAGGGTATTGTGCTAAGCAAAGTAAGTCAGTCAGAGAAAGACAATTATCATATGATCTCACTCATATGTGGAATTTAAGAAACAAAATAGATGAACATAAGGGAAGAGAGGAAAAAATAAAACAAAACAATATCAGAGAGAGAGAAAAACCATAAGAGACTCTTAACTATAGGAAACAAACTGAGGGCTGCTGGAGGGGAAGGGGGTGGGGGGATGGGGTAATTGGGTGACGGGCATTAGGAGGGCACGTGATGGAATGAGCACTGGGTGTTATATAAGACTGATGAATCACTGAACTCTACCTCTGAAACTAAAATGCATTATATATGTTCATTGAATTTAAATTAAAAAAAAAACAAAGTACAGAATAATCCTTGTGCACAAGATGATCAATGTAGCAGTGATTATAAAAACTTAAAAAATTGAAAAACAGTAATGAGTGCAGTTTCATGTTCAGAGAGCATCAACCCGGGCTGGTCATGGCCCAAGTACCATCACATTACCCTCAAGCAAGGCAACTCCAACAACACTGAGATGTCTTAAGTAAACCATAATATCACCACTAATAAAGCATTAGACATTAGTCCTTTAAAATTATGTTATGAGAGTCCACAAATACATTAAAAATACCTCTGCAGGATATGAATTGCATGTGATGGGGCCATAACAAATTAAAATTTAAATAAGCTTTAAAAAAATGCTTGAAGGATGTACATCCATGACAGATTACCAAAGTGGCCCCTAAGATATCCTGCTGTACCCACACCCCTTGAAATGAGTCTGGGCTGACCCCCTGAATCTGGGCTGGCCTTGGGACTTCAGTCAACTGACCAAATGGGTAAGAGTGACCCACGCCCGTCCCAGGCCTGGGCATCACACACGTGCCTGGCCTGCTTTGGCTCTCGCTTTTGGAACATTGCTTCCATGTTGAATCATAACAGAAACAGAGCGTCCCCCACCCCAGCCAACAACCAGTTCCCAGCAGCAGAATCCTATCAGTCAGCAAGTGATCAGCTGCCTGAGGGAGCCCCTGAGACAGATGAAGGAAGGCAAACTTGCCAAGTTAAAATGCACATCCAAGAACTTTTGTTGACACACAAGCATTAAATCCGTGATGTATACAAAACCTAGAGACACTCCCCCAGAATACATGAGAAAAGACCAGAGCCCCCCCAAAAAATAATGAATAAAAAGGACAAGGAAGATCTAAAATAATGAGCTGAAATGTCACTTTGAAAGACACACAAGGATTGAAAGAGAGCGATCATCTGAGACATCAGATGAGGAAAACTTTCCTAAAGCAAAACCAGTAAGAAGAAAGCACAGTGAACGCTCAGCTCCGTCCTGGAGGGCAGCCCTGCGCAGACCCCTCACAGGCTCATACCCCCCCCCCAATAAATGACACTCTGTCCCTCGGGAACGACCACACCCACACACTACCGATATAAACAGCCTCAGATATGCATAAGCTTTCATACACCACCTTTAAAGCATTCTGGAAAAAGTCCTCCAGAACACTGAAATAAGGGTCCAAAGAGTTTGAGACAGAGAAAGCTCACACACAAATGTGAGCTGAGCCTGTGAGCAGGGGTGACAGACCCCAGGCAGTGCTGGTCCAGGACCGCCAGCCGCATCTGAGCAGACCCGCACCCTCCCCCGACCGGGGTCTCCTGTCCACCCCCCCCCCACACACACACACCCCGCCGGGGTCTCCTGTCCGTCCCCCCGTGCCCGCACCCCCGGCAGCGTAAAGTTGCTCTGGCCTGCAGCATCACTGCAGCAAGAGAACACTGTCCAATACACCGCGGAGCTCTCCACGCCGGGAAGAGACGTTAGTGGAATCCGTGGAAGGCAAGAGTGTGCAAGATGTTACGCACTAGGACAGCGCGAACATTCTCTACTCAGCTGCCCCAAAAAGACAGTCAACTAACAGGACCCACCTGAGCAGATGACGCCGGCGTCCTCCTTGTGCCCGCAGTCCTGCTGGCCCCAGCCCCGCGACGGGCACTGCCACAGCGCAGACTCGTGGCCGCTGCAGCCCAGCTGGTCCATCCAGATGCGCCCCGACCCCGCACCGAAGGGCGCGGCCCCCAGGGCGCGGAGGGCTTGGCCGCAGCCCAGCTGCCGGCAGACCACGTGGGCGTCCTGCAGGTCCCAGCCGTCGTCACACACGGTGCCCCACGTGCCCCCGTGCAGCACCTCCACGCGCCCCGCACAGCGGTGGGGCCCCGCGGCCAGCCGCACCCGCCGGCTCCCTGCGGAGACACGCGGAGTCAGGGCGGCCGGCCCGCGGGCGATGGGCCAGCGGCGCGGGCACTCACTCACCGGAGCACACGACGCCCGCGTCCCGCGAGGCTCCCGAGGGTACCAGCGGGGATGCGGACACGTTGCACTGGGTCAGGCGGGTCTCGGTGCCCTGACAGCGCGCGCGGCTCAGCCCCACCGGGACCGCCCCGCGCCTGGGCGCGGGCGCGTCGTAGGCCCGGTCAGCCTGTCCGCACCCCAGCTGCCTGCACACCACGCGGGCGCCGCGCAGGTCCCACGCGTCGTCCAGGACGCGGCCCCACACCCCATCCAGGGAGACCTCCGCACGGCCATCGCAGCGGCTCTGTCCGTCTCTCAGCCGCAGGGCGTGGAGGAGACCTGGGGAAGACGCACGCATGGACAGGGGGTCAGGGGGAGACAACCACCACCTCCCAGCAGAACCCCGCCCACGCCCAGCCTCCCTCAGCCCGCCGCTCTTGCAGACCCACCTGAGCAGACTGCGGCAGCCGCGTTTCCCAGCGCACAGGCCCCGGCCCCCAGGGTGCTTACTGGGCAATTCCACAAATAGGGTTCTGTCCCCACACAGTGAAACACATCAGGCCAGATGGGCGCGTCCCCGTTCCCAAAGTGGCCTCCTCGGGGTGTGGCCTCCGCACTACCGCAGTTGAGCTGGTGGCAGAGGACGGTGGCATCTGCTAAGTCCCAGTGGGCAGCACAGAGGGGTGCCCAGGCCCCCTGCACTTGGAGCTCCACGCGCCCCTCACAGCTGCTGCTGCCGTTAACCAGCCGGAACTCTGAAGAGGGGAGTGGGAGTCAGCATCCCCCTCAGCCACAGACCAGCTTCTTTCCCTTGCACCCACTGCGCCGGCCACAGCCTCACCAGTCCCCTCCCCGCCTCAGCCTCAGCATCCAGATCATGCCTCTGCAGATGTGCCCACAGACTGCGGTGTTGCCACGGTGGGGGGCACAGTCCTCTCCTCCCCCTCAACCCACAGAAGCAACACTTCGCACGCCCTCCTGGCCAGAGGCACCTTTATGAGCCTAGCTTAGAGCCCCCAGAGGGAGTCACCAAGGGAGGCTGGCAGGGAAGGCTACCTGAGGCTACCCTCCCAGCCTCACCTGAGCACCTGAGCCCGGCATCCTGGCGGTGCCCACACTGGTGCCCAGGCCCCCGGGGGCAGTGGAACAGCAGAGACTCATTGCCTGCACAGTGGAAGGCCTCTGTCCACACAGGCCCAGAACCCTGGCCGAAGTGGGCGCCCCCAGGAGTAGACACAGCCGAGCCACACTGCAGCTCCCGGCACACAACATGAGCCGTTGCCTGGTCCAGGTCAGCGTCACAGACAGTGCCCCAGGTCAGGCCACGCCTCACTTCCAGACGCCCGGCACAGGGGTGCTCACCACCCTCCAACCGGGCTTCCATGTGTCCTGGGGGAGGACACAAACTCTCAGTTAGGGATAAGTGTTCTCAGGTGAACAATTCAGCCACCTCCCTGGGCCACAGGAGGCTCCAGCCAGGGTAGACCATCTGTAATCAGGCAGTGGGTCTGCAAGCCCTGGGCAGAAACTGATAGCCGGAGGCCCATACACCCTCCACCTAGAACAGAGCAGGAGTCCCTGGTCACTTCCCTGAGATCAGAGGTCAGAGTCACCTCCTCCAGGTGCCCACAGGTGTCACATAGCCTCTGCCTGCCCAGGGCAGGGGCATCAAGACCCTGTATAGTCTTGGAAGCCAGGTCAAGACACCTTTCCGGCCACAGATCACTGCCTTCTTGGGGGCACCAAGGAAGGTGACCCATCCACCTCACTTTAGCTTTTCCCAATTCCCAGAACACAGGCAGGATCTATGAGGGCCAATTCACTTGCCCATTTGAGACAGGACTGGGAGGGGGCAACCACAAGCCAGCTGACTCATGTTGTAAGGCAACAATCACAGCTCAACCAGCACAGATGCTGCAGGATAGCCAGGACCCCAGCCGGCCAGGGGGTTCTGAGCCAGGACACATCTGGGGAGACACACACACAGGTGACTCAGTGAGGCACCTGAGGAGCCATCCAAGAGCACTTCCTGTGCTCTCACCTCCAGGCCTCTGTTCCAAGCAGCTGTGAGCTAAAGAACGCCAGATGGTCACAGTGCCTGCCCTCACCTGTCCAGCCCATCCCTAATTCATCTGAGACACCAAGCTGCCCAGGTGTCAAGAGGAGATGGGTCTGTGAGAGCTGAGACCACTCCCAACAGCTCCTTCCCCAGGGGTCTGCACCCTGAGACTCAGGCGAGCCCCATGCTGGGCCTCACCTGAGCAGACCACCTCCGCGTCCTGCCGGAAGTCACAACCACTGCGGAGATTATTGTTGAGTCTGCAGTTCCGGATGGTGGGCTCGGTACCCCTGCACATCATGTACTTCCTGACGACCCCCACGTCTTGGCGGGGGGCCTGAAGCACAGGCCCACACCCCAGCTCCTGGCAGAACACCGTGGCCTCCTCCTCATGCAGGCCGCAGAGGCGATCCACCCCATTCACATTCCTGATCTCGGGGAGTCCAGAGCAGGGGCTGCGGCCCTTTACCAGCCGGATCTCCCGAAAGGTGCCATCTGAGAAGCACGGGCCCAGGGACAGAAGGTGGGGACTCTGCTGGCCGCATGGCCACTCAGAGCCTCTGGCCTGCCTCCATGACCAGATCCCATTTGGGCGTGGCAGTCCCTACGCTGGGCCTGGGTCAGACTCTGCAACCAACCCTGCTCCTTCCAGAGGGTCCAGAGGGCACTTTCTGAGAGCAGCCAGTCACAAAGCCTCCCCCACTCAGAGGGACCTGAGCCTGGGTTAATACTCTGCTGTCACTGTCTTGAAAATCTTGTTGTTGAACAAGGGTCCCTGCATTTTCGCTTTATACTGGGCTCCATTAACCATGCAGTGGGTCAGCTTCACAGACAGGAGGCTATGGGGGGCAGCACAAGTTCACAAGTGCCCAGAGACAGCAGAAGACCCTCAAGATAGACCTCAAAGGGAAAGCATTTGCCTCCTCATCATTTTTGAAATCATGTTTAAATACCTAATGTTAAACACCAACAAGCACCCTCAGGTGTCTAGAAGACAGGGTGGTCCCTAGCCACCACCCCACCCCCCCATCTGCCCATTTCCCGCCTCTCCACACTCCCACATTGCTGTTGTACTTCTTTATTTACTCTGTTTCCCCCTAGGAGAGTACAGGCTCCATGCAGCGGGATTTTTGTCTGATTTATTCAAAGCTGCATCCCCAGCACCCAGAACAGTGCCTTGCAAATAAGCACTTGTTGAATGAAAAGCAAAGGACCCCTAACAGAAGGTATGAAAGAGTCATGAGAGGTTGGAAGGCTTTACAGGTGGGGATGGTTCCTATGCCCAGTAAGGAGCCCCCCCTCCCCGCCCAGATCCTCTCTCCTTGCCCCTCCCCCAGACCTACCCTCTTCCCCCTCCGCAGCTCCCTCCTGCGCCGGACTTACTTGCACACAGAGCAACCACCACCCACTCGTGAGGGCACTTGCTCCGAGTCCAAGCCCCGAGGCTGCACTCCCAGAAGGAGGGCTCATCACCCCTGCAGGACACGTTGTGGAGCCAGGGCCGCACCATCTCCCCGGGCAATGGGACGTACTTGGGGGCACCCACGGCATGGCCACAGCCCAGCTGCCTGCAGACCACGGATGCCTCCGCCAACGTCCACTCCTGGTTGCACACGTGTCCCCACTGCTCCTCGTGGCGGACCAGCACCACTCCGTCACAGGAACTGTGTCTGTACGCCAGCCTCAGGTCGCCTGGTCCGCCTACAGAAGGACAGGTCCGCCTCAGAGGGGCCCAGAACCGTCTTTGTGGGGGTGGGGGGAGAGCCGGCTGTAGCTGGGAGGTATAAAGACGCCTGCGTTTACCCGCGGCCACTTCCAAGGTCTTGCTGCGAGGCCTCAGCACAAAGTCAGGTCCCCCTGACCCCCGAGTCCGCGCCGTCCAGAAGGGTGATGGGGTGGGGTCACACAGAGACCCGCCCACTGCCCCCACGCACCCCTGCGTCCTTGCCTCCACAGTCCCCCTCCCCCCAACCATGTCTTCTGCTCCCCTCCCAAGCCCTCTGGGGCCCCATACGATGTGGGTGACCCGACCCCCCAGGCAAGGAAGTCCCTTGTCCGCTGCCTGGAACTGGGGCGGCTCTTCCCACCACCCCACCACGCCTCCCAATCATAATTTCCCCACTTCCACTGGCGGGCCTGTGGCCCACCACACGCACCCACCACTCTCCATTCCCTGCTCACCTCTACCCCACCCCCCAGACGGCTGCCTGTCCTTCCAGTTCCGCTCTCCCAGGCGGCCTCCTCGGGTTTCAGGTCTCAGCAGCTCCCGGGACCAGGACCAAATGGACCACTTCACCAGGACCAGGATGTATTTCCCGAACCACACCCCTTCTAGGCCTCTGCACCTTGGTTTCTCCTGCACAAACCCCTCCCCATCACAGCCCCTTGATCCCCGATTCTCATGACCCCTTCCTGGGCTGCTGCTGGAGAAACAGAACAGCAGTCACAGAGAAGTCTCTGTCCCAGCCTGGGCCACCCCAGACCACCTCCAGGGCCCATCCTGGACTCACAGAAGGAGGAGACAGAGGGCAGACTCCCACACACAGATCCAGAGGAAGGCTTGTCCCTCTCCGCACTGCTCTCATTGACCCCTGAGGGTCTTCATTCATCACTGGTACATCTCTGGTACATCCCCCTCCAACCTGTGCATGGGTGTCTGCATCTCTAACACAAAACGGGATCCCCTCCGGTTTTCCTACAGCACTCCCACAACGGCATCACTGCCCACAGATTCCTGCCACCACTACCTGGGGCGCCCCTACTGTCCAACTCTGAGGCCACCTGGGCTGGGCCAAGGATCAGCCTGCCCAGTGAGGCTCTTCCATCAGTTTCCAGGGCACTGGACACTGCTACCCTCTCCCATCTCCCTGTGCGACTCACACACTCACTCTCTGACACCAACACTATCGCTCACCCAGTCAGAGGCCCCAGGCTACTGTATGCAGTCTCCCCCAGGGGCTTGCTCCCTCACTACCAGCCTTTCCGTGTTGTTCCATCCGGCAGAACCCCCTCTGTACAGCTTGCTGCCCATGATTCTGCCACTTGGTTTCTGGACCCAGCAGCATCCCACACCCCTGTGCCCCCCACCTTGCTACTGCGACTCCCTGCAACTGTGTTTCTCTTCCATGTCCCAGCACAAGCTGAATGGTCACCCTCACTGCCAGGTACAGCTGGCTTTCCGTCTCCCCCACCAGCCACCCAGCCCCGGGGAAAGTAGATGGAGCAGCCCCTCCGCAGGACCTATCAACACCTCCTGTCCATGGGGATCACTGGGACCAGAAACTAGCCATGTCCCCTCATTCCATCCAGGCTCTGACCCAGCCCTGCACCCCACGGTCACCCTGGGATTAGATCTGCTCAGTCTTCATTAGAACAAGAGTCTCCAGGGATACACACTTTGGAGCCCACATGCCCACTTGCCCCAGGATGACCCATACACCTCTGCGCTGAGCAAGAGCCAGATAGACAGCTGGTCATAGCAGAAAACCCCCACACCCCAGGGTCTCAGGCTCTACAGAACCACTGCCTCCAGAAGCTTCCATGGATGAGGGAAGGAGAAACTTACCAATGGGGATTGCCCTGAGAGTGAGGAGAAGGGTTCCCAGTCCCAAGGCCCAGAGAACTGTCTTCATGGCCCTGTGACCCGAGGGCTCAGCCAGCTCCAGCCACTCAACTGGGGCAATGCAGAGATTACAGTCAAGAGTCAAATATACAGAAGTAGGAGCCACCAATGGCCTCCAGGAACCAATGGGGACAGTGAGGGCCTTTCCAGAACCTATCAGGGGTCTGTCTCTCTGTCTCTGAGCAGAGCAACCAATGGTGTTGGCAGCCCTGAGCATTGCCAGATATGAGCGAGGGGCCCAGGCTGTGGGTTTCCTCCCGCACTGATAACTGCTGACAGGGTAGCTTTACTCAGACCCCACAGCCAGACAGGTGGTCTAATCTGCCCACAGCCACAGCAGCAGCAACAAAGCCCTGTGTGTCTCTGCCCTCCGCCCAGGCCCAGTAGCCTTGGCTCCACACCACAGTGACACAGTGACACCAGATTTCTGGGGACCAGCAGGAACTGAGTGGAAGCCCCACAGCACCAGAAGAATGAGACAGCCCAGGATAGCCTTTCAAGGCCCCTAAAAACTGAACTGTCATTGGACCTAAAGCCGCAAAAGGACAGAACCTATACTCTGAACCTAAACAGGGTGACTACCTGCTGACATGGAAGAGTCTCCCAACATCACAGTCCAGAATACAAGTGAAAATCATCCATCATATGAAGAATCAGGAAAACAACAATTTGATGATAAAATACAATGAACTGATACAAGGTGAAGTTGATCTCAGAACTATCTGCCGAGGATTTTAAAGTAGACTTCATAAAAGATGCTTCCACAGTAAATTGCAAACTCTTTTGAAACTAATGGGAAAAAAATAGAAAATCTCAGCAAAGAAATAGAAGTTATAAAAATGAACTGCTGGTGAGGTATGGAAAAATTGGAACATTCATGAGATTGGAAAATGGTGCAGCCACTTTGGAAAACAGTTTGGCAGTTATTCATAATGTTAACCCAGCAATACCACTCCTAGGTACATATCAAAGAGAAATTAAGTTATGTCCACACAAAAACCTGTATATAAATGTTCATAGCAGCATTATTCATAATAAACAAAAAATAGAAACAAGCTAAATGTACATCAATTGATGAATGGATAAACAAATGTGGTCTATCCACAGCACAGAACATATTCAGCCATTGAAAGGAAGGAAGCTCTGACACCTGCAACAGTGGAGTGAACCTTGGAAACAGTATGCTAAGTGTCAGACACAAAAGACCACATGTATGATTCCATTTATATAAAATGTCCTGATTGGGCAAATCCACAGACAGAGAAAGTGAATTAGTGGTTGCCAGGGGCTGGAAGGAGGAGAAAATTGGAAATGACTGCTAATAGGTATGGGGCTTCCTTTGGGGGAGATGAAAATGTTCTGGAATCAGCCAGTGGTGATTGTGGTATAACTCTGAGTATACTAAAAACTACTGGATTATACACTTTTAAAGGATACATTTGTGGTGTATGAGTTATATTCTCAATAAAGCTGTTATCCTTTTAAAGAACCAAATGGAAATTATAGAACTAAAAATACAACTGACGTTTTTTAAAAACTCACTAAAAGGGGGCCCTTGGTTGGCTCAGTCAGTGAAGTGTCTGCCTTTGGCTCAGGGTCCTGGGATTGAGTCCCACATCAGGCTCCCTGCTTAGCAGGTAGTCGGCTTCTCTCTCTCCCTCTGCCCCCTCCCTGCTCATGCACTCTCTCTCAAATAAATAAATAAAATCTTTTTTTTAAAAACTCACCCAATGGACTCAAGAATAGAATGGAAATGCCAGAGGACAGCATCAGTCAAACTGAAGACAAATAAAAAGAATTTACTAAATGTAAACAACAGAGAGAAAATAGACAAAAAATTAATACAGCCTCAGAGACCTCTGGGACAATAACAAAAAAGATAATATTTCTATCATTGGAGATCTAAGAAGGAGAGGAGAGAAAAGAATGTTAAGAAACTGAAAACTTGGCAAGACATAAACTTACAGATTCAGGAAGCTGAGCAAACTCCAAATAGGATAAACCCAAAGAAATTCACTCCAAACCACATCATAAGTAAAATTCTGAAAACTAAGAATTAAAAAAAAAAAATCCTAAAAGCAGACAAAGAAAAACAATACATTATCAATAAAGGAAAACCAATCTGAATGATAGCAAATTTCTCATCTAAAATGGAGACCAGTAGGTAGTGGAAGACCCATTTTTAAGAGCTGAGAGAGAGGGTGTGTCAAGCTTGTATGCTACGTCTGTGAAACTATCCTGCACAAATTACGGGGAAATAAAGACAACCTCAAATGAAGGAAAACAAGAGAACTTCTGGCTAGAAGACATACTGTTACATAATGGCTAAAGAAAACCTTCCAATCAGAAAGCAAATGATTACAAAAAGATGGGACTTTCAGAAAGGAAAGAAGAACAATGAAATGGGTAAAAGTAGAAGTGACCATAATAGACTATCCTTCACTTTGTGAGTTTCTTTAATCACATTTTATGTTATAACACCACCTGAAGTGGTGCTCAGTGAATACAGAAGAAATACTCCAGACAGTTCTATGTTTAAAGTAGGAGGGTAAAAAAACAACTGAATATAAGTAAGGTTTCTATATTTCACTAAAAGTGTTAACATGACAACACCAGAAGGCTGTTATAAGTTACATATAGTATCATATATAAGTTACATATAAAGTAACCAATTAAAAAATCATACAAAACCCAAATACATTATAAATACATCAAAAAAGAAGTCTGAAAAATGTTCACATAACTCATAGAGAGAGAAGGGGAAAAGAAACAGATACATGAAGACAGGGGAACAAATAGGAAACAAAAAGTAAATGGCAGATATAAGCCCTAAAACATTAGTAATAACTTAGATGTAAATGTTCTAAATACACACATTAAAAGGCAGATGTTGGGGGCGCCTGGGTGGCTCAGTCAGTTGGGCAGCTGCCTTCGGCTTGGGTCATGATCCCAGGGTCCTGGGATTGAGCCCCACATCGGGCACCCTGCTTGGGTTAGGGTTAGGGTTAGGGTTAAGGTTGGCAAAGTGAATTTTGGCTGGAGTGGCTATATTGATATCAGAGAAAAATTTCAGATAAAAGAAAATTACTAGGAAGAATAGGGAACATTACATAATAATAAAAAGGATGAATCCACCAAAAAGATAGAACAATCCTAAATATGTATGTGCCAAACTACAGAACTTCAAAATATATGAAGCAAAAATGGATAAAGCTGAAAAAAGAAATGGACAAATCCACAATTCTACTTGGAGACTTCAAGATGTCTCTCACAGCAATTGACAGAACTACTTGAGACAAAATCAGCAAGATATGGAAGAACCGACACCATCAACCAATGGATCTAATTCACATCTGCAGAACACTCCACACAACAAAAGTAGAATACACATTTGTTTCACACACATGGGACATTCACCAAAATTTGTATCTTAGGTCATAAAACAAACCTTAACAAACTTAAAAGAATTTAAATCATACAGAATATATTTTCTGACCATAATAGATTCAAACAAGAACTCAATAACAGAAAGACAACAGAAAAATCTACAAACACTTGAAAATTAAACACACTTCTAAATAATCCATGGGTCAATGATGAAGTCTCAAGGGAAATTTTAAAAATACAAAGAAGTGAATGAAAATGAAAATGACATATCAACATTTGGAGGATGCAGCTAAAGAAATGTTAAGAGGGAAGTTTACAGTGCTTAATATTTACATGAGAGGAAAGATCTCAAACCCATAAGCTAAATTGCTATCTCAAAAATCTAGAGAGAAAAAAGCTAAATAAAGCCAAAGTATGCATAAGGAAAGAAATAATAAAGGTAATATCAGAAATGAATGAAGTTAAAAACAGGAAAACAATTTAAAAAATTAATGAAACAAAAAGCTGATTTTTTGGAAAAAAAATAAACCTCTAGCAAGATTAACAAAAATAAAAAATGACCCAAATCAATACCAAGAATAGAAAAAGTGATATACCAACAGATGCAACTGCCATTATAAGGATAAGAGAGAAATACGATGGACAACTTTAAACTCATAAATTCAACAACTTAGAAGAGATGGACCAGTTCCCTGAAAACCACAAACTACTAAAACTCAGCCAGATGAAATAGATAACTAAAACTCTAAAGGAACTAGGTTTTTGTCATCAAAATGCTTCTGAATCCAGAGTTCTCACTGTTAGAATTGACATTTACAGATCAGCAAGGGCAGGAGGCTGGAATGACCCACATGGTGGTGGATTAGAGGTGGAGATGTCACTACGATCTTGTGTTCAGCTTAATCTGGGTACAGATGGCTACATACAGAAATACTGTAGATGTGTGTATGTGTGTGTGTATTTCTATACAGATGTGTGCATAGGTATGTACAAACACACATGTATTTCTTTGTTTTGCCAACTGAGAGGGCCTGGAAGCCTTGGTGCCCCAGTAGTGATGAGCACACCCAGTGCCCAAATCTTGGCATCTAACATCATCCTCAGTCAAAGGAGACAGGACACCTGGAAGAAACAGCTGATTCTAAGACTGGGGTAGGAAATATATAAGGTGGGCCTGGAGTATCTTGTAATGTCAGAAAGTAAAGAAGTGATCAAAAATAAACAATAACAGAAAATTGAAAACACTGATGATGAGATATGGCAAAGGTGCATAGGGGCTGACTGAAGGGTTCCCAAAGACCAAAGCTGGAACAATTTGAGCAATGATCAATCAGTCAATATTGGATTATAATCCAAAGGGTAAAATACACACCCATGAGTCATACTGGCATTAAAAAAATGACTGAATACACACAGGAGGAGAAGAGATACCTTTCCCATGCAGAAGAAGTCCAAATAATTTGTGTAGATACTCTGCTTTCAAGGAAGGAGCACATAACTTCCCACTCCTTGGGCCTGCCTAATGTCTTCCTCCAAAAAGTGAAGTATAGAAAGGGGAGAAAAGGAACAGCTCTTCAATGGAAAAAAACCTGACAAACACAATTCATCCATGTGAAAAAAGTCAACATCAACAGCCATACACCATCTTGATATGTGTACTCTTGATCATAAGGGATGAAAATGGCACTTCACCTCTGTGATCTGCCTCCAAAAAAACCCATAACCACTATCTAATGGGAAGAAGATCAGAGAAATTCCAGTAAAA